AATTAAAAGACCAAAAAGCCAAAGCTGATGTCAGACATCTTCAGGTGGGTGTCGTCGTCTTTGTGCTTATCTTGGTCCCTTATACATTTTGAACGTTGTCTGCAGAACAGCTGGTCTTCAACACATCAGGTGGACTACTGATGTGTTAATTAACAAATCAGGGGGAATTATAAGCAGTCTCTAACTCTGGAAAAAGAAAGAAAAAACATCTTGTAGGTCACTTTATTGTGTCGCCTCTCAGTCCTAGTCTGGCCAGCAGTGTTGTATAGTAACAAAGTAAAACTACTTCACTACTGTACTTAAGTATATTTTGGAGTACTTTATACTTTCCAAGAGTTTACATTTTTTTAAGAATTTTTCACTTTTCACTTTTACTTCACTACATTTACAAACTTATTTGCATACTTTTACTCCGATACATTTTCAATGTTTGGTTTAGTTACTAAGTAAAAAAAAAAAAAACGCGCAAGAGAGCGAGAGAAAAACAAGTGTTTTGACCCCACCTTCTGACTGCAAAGTCAGGTCTTGCCTGGGCTTGTTCATCAACACCAATAGGATATAGATTGGTCACTAGGAACTATTGTGAAATCTTGAGCATAACGTTATCTGTATAAATGAACTTTGTTTGGCATTGTTTTCAGTTCCACACGTGGTGTATTTAGCTTCAGCTAAATGTTGACTGTAGCAGGCTTTTGAAGATGAACAGAAGATTTTACAGTTTTAAGTGATAATGGGGTTATGTGCGAGGATGACTACAAGGGGTGGTTAAGATTTGGAGGGGAAGAAAAAAGTCAAGGGCAAAAGTGTGGAGGGGATGAGGGGCTTGTGTTTACAAAGTGTTTAAGATTTTGTTAATGGGCCTGAAGTGCATCTTTTTTTCTCTGGTGTGACGTACACTTAATTTCAGCACCGCCTTTTTTTACGTTTTAAGGTAGTTTTACAAAAAATGTCTTCCTCTTCAGATGCCAGATAAGCTGCAGTTTCCTCCCATTTATTTTTCTTTTGTAAAATGACCTGTTATATGTGCGCCTTTTGTTTGTGAAGTGTGAAGTCACGTTGTCCGACGAAGTCACGTTCCAACTCGCGTTTCCGGTTTCAAACTCAAAAGATTTATTTTCTCCAAAAAATGCAAAATAAAACGGTACAAAAAATGAAAAATGCTTATAAACTAATTCTTTTAACTTATATTCATGTTCTTAATTCTTTAGACCTAAAACTGCGGTCAGAAAANGTTGATCATAATATTCTTTTAGAAAGACTTGAATATTTTGTTGGAATTAAAGGAACAGCTCTAGACTGGTTTAAATCTAATGATAGATCTTCAACACGCTCGGGGGTTGCCTGTGGAGTACCACAGGGATCAGTGCTAGGACCAATTCTCTTTACTTTATACATGCTCCCAATTGGTAGAATTATTAGACAGCATGGGATTAATTTCCACTGTTATGCTGATGATACCCAGCTATATTCAATTTCAATTCAATTAAATTCAGTTTATTTATATAGCGCCAAATTCACAACACATGTCATCTCAAGGCACTTTACAGTTCAAAGCCAATAGTGTCTAAGATAGCATTAAAGGCTGCTCTTAAGGCATCACCTTTAGTGTCAGGATGGATGTTAAAATCAGTAGCGCAGGATTTCAGTGTTAAAATCAGTGTTTAAATCAGTTGACTGACCCTGTCAGTATTCAACACTGTCACGGTCTTACTTTGTTATATTCCTTTCTGAAAACCAAATCAGAAAGGAATATAACATAGGGATAAAATGGAAATCTTCTGCTTCAGCTGAAGGATTCATGTTTGGTGTCAACCTACCTGTCATGATTCTGATCTTTTTGGACTTTTTGGTTCATTTTAAGTGTTTGCTTTGGGTTTTCAGTTAAAGTTGAATTTATGTCATTGGTTACATTTTCATTCAGTGTCTAATAAGTACTTTTCTGGCTATATGTATGCAATGTTGTATTTCTTGTTAACTCTCCGTTCCCCCCTTCCCCCTTCCTGTCTTCTTTGCCCCATCTACCTTCTAGATCAGGCATCCCCAAAGTCAATCCTTGAGGGCCGCTGTCCTGCAGGTTTTAGAGGTTTCTCTGCTTTAGCACAGCTGATTCTGATGATTGCAGTTCAGCAAAAGCCTGTTAATCAACTATCAATGTAAATCAGCTGTGCTGGAGCAGGGAGACCTCTAAAACCGGAAGGACAGTGGCCCTCAAGGACCGACTTTGGGGATGCCTGTTCGAGATCCTTCTGTCCACACCTGCTCCATATCAGTTGATTATTCATTGTTCTGTTCCTCATTCCCTTCGGTTTATTCATCCATAAAGTGTCCTAGTTTTTGGTTCCTGAGTTTTTTGTTGGTTAGTTCTGGATTACGGCTTCTAAAATTTTACTTCATTAAATAAATTTATTGGAGATTTAATTTTTTTATTTATATAATTTAATGGCTGTGTGCACTGTAGGAGACGGCAGCCTCTCCTGTAGCTCTCTAGTTTATACTATTTGTTCACACTTTTTTACCTTTAAATTAGTTCTACTGTGGGATGATTTTATATTTATTGAAATTAACATGAAGCTGGTTTTTTATGTACTCTAGAGAGGAACTGGTGTCACTGAGAACAATGGGATATGCTGGTATACAACACGCCATCCTCGAGGAGCAGAGGAGGAAATACAGGGGCTGCAAAGTCCGTGCTGAGCAAAAGGCCAGGCTAGTGGAGAATCAGAGACACTACAACTCATTAATCCCCTCCATAATCAAGGGGAATGTGAACTCTCTGTATAACAAGATTGATGAGCTGACTGCACTGAACAACCATCAGATTTATAGAGAAAGCAACCTGCTCATCTTTATGGAGACATGGCTAAAGCGCCTCGTACCGGACGCTAATGTGGACCTGCTGGGATTCACTGCGGTGAGAGCCGACAGGGACACTAATGCTAGTGGAAAAACAAAAGGTGTGGGCTTGATCATGTTTGTGAACCACCGCTGGGGTAACCAAGGACATATCTTAGTACAGATTGTTATGCTGCCGGGACCTCGAGCTGTTAGCTTGCAGCCATATTATCTGGCAATGGAATTGAGTCACATGATCACCATCTGTGTTTATATTTTCTCGAAAGAGGACACAGCAGCTGCCTGTGAGGAGATACACGCCATCACAGCCAGGTTACAGACTCAGCACCCTAATGCATTTATAATAACTTTGGGTGACTTTAACCATGCAACCCTTGACTCGAATTTGCCTGTTTTCCATCAGACTGTTGACTGTCTAACAAGAAACAGGACAATCCATCTCCTGTATGCTAATGTAAGGGATGCATACAGAGCCACACCCCTCCCCCCAATGGGCAAGTTGGACCACAACCTGGTTCCCCTACAGCCTGTTGGGACAGTCTGCTACTACCCAAATAACAAGCCTTGGGTAACAAGGGGAGTGAAAGCTTTCCTAAACAGGAAGAAGGCTGCCTTCAGGAGCAGAGACAAGGAGGCCATGAAGGCAGAACAGCAGGAGGTAAAACACGGTGTGAGGGAAGCCAAAGACATCTACAGGAGAAAGGTGGAGCAGAAGCTGAAAATAAGATGAGAGCCATCTGGGAAGGTGTGAGGACCATCACAGGCCAAAACGCAAAGACCAGGGCCAGTGAAGGGACAATGGAGAAATCAAATGACCTGAACAACTTCTTCAAAAGGTTTGACAATCCTGTGACCCCTACACCACTGCTGCAGACATATCCCCTTCACCCCACAATGCACCTGCTGCAGAATCTGCTGGTCCTGCATTGAATGAACAGTCCATGGTGGGGGGTGAGGTGTCATTGATGATGTCACGGGACACGCAGCGCTGGGATGAAATGTCTTTAATGGAGGG